ACATTGTAAACCATGACACAGGGTAAGTAACGTATCATCCTGTAAAAGAAAAAGACAGGCAGATGATCCTGATCTGGATTCTTAGTAACCTAATGCTAATAACCTGGGGAATAGTCAGTACTGATTTGCCCTTGCTGTCTGTGGGAAGGATCTGACCTTTCACTGGCACTTTAACTGATACCACTCTATGCTAGTTCATATTCATTCTATCTCTGCTATTGCACCACCTCCCACCAAGCCTCATTCTCTACCATTCTCACTATAGCATGCAGCTTTTTCTCTCACTTGTAATCTCCCACACCAAGACCTTATATTACTAACCATGCACGGCCTCTGCACTGCCTACTCAAGCACTCAGGGCATTTTACAACTTTTCCCTGATCTGCAACAGTACCAAGAGCTGTGCCACCCACTCTCATCCCACTCAATCCCTCCCTTTCTCTGATTCTAAGAGAAACAACCCATAACAGAGCCAAAATGGCCAGGACACATGGTGGGGTTACTGACATTCAGCTCCTTTTCTCTGTGAAAAGTGGAACTTGACCCTTAATGGGAAAGACCAGATCTCCGAGGATGCTTGTCTGGGCAACCAAGGAAGAAGCACTGACTATTGCTGTGTTACTTTCATACTACCCCACAATGTCAGTGTATTCTTAATATGCTATAACCTCTAGCTCTTGACCGTGATACATTCTTTGTTTTGTCTCCACGCAGTTACCGGTGGCATCACCACCACCTCAGTGGTCAAAAGGGCCACAGCACAAGATGATCCCTCCTCCATTTCCAAGGAAGAGAGCACAGATGCCTCAGAGGATGTACCAGCAAGGCTGTTTCTTGAATCCACCAATACCCCCCCAGATTTTGCTACATTAGTTTGCTAGAATTTTGCTAAATTAGAGTTGGTAGCACCTGCTGATGAGCACTACACTGCCATATGTCCACAGCTGGCCAAGGAAGAAACACTTCAAGTCACTGGCACTCAGAGGACTGCCAGAGACCTGGCATCTGCTCCCCGACTGACTTAGCATGAGTTCCTGGACTGGTACACTGAATGCACAGGCCTGACTGTGGCCTCATTCAACTATAGAGGAATGGACTCCTGATTATGATTGCTCTAAGTGGCCAAATCCCTGGACTAATATTGGAAATGAGGAACTGCTTACTCTGGTCCTAGATTGTCCAACAAAGGGAAACAACCTCTCTGCATCTATCCTGCTAAGCCCTCTAGGAATCTTACATGTTTCATTCTTCTAAATTCTAAATGAGCACACTGAGCATTCAACCTCTCTCACTGCTCCCTAGTAAGCATCTTGTCTTACTATCCAACGCTTGGTTGGAAAATGGGACTTTTTGATCTCAATGTCGATAAGGTCCTTGCTGGACAAATCACCTGATTTTTCCAAATTTCTCACCATGGCCCATGTTGTTTAGAACATCTAAGCAGGAGAATGGGATAATAATGAGTGGTACAATGTTTTTCATTCAGATTATCATGTATCAGCATCTAGCAGTGCCATACAAAGAGTTTGAGTGATTAATGGCTGAGAACTGCATACTGCTGAGTATTTTAAAAAATGATTGTGCAGCAGTAGACTAAGTAAAATTTTAAGCATGTCAATGAAAAAGATTTGCCCCTATAAAACATGCACTTACTACAGGCTATCGATCAAGACATATTGACAAGAGCAATGGTCAATCCATCACATTTTAATGTAGATCTTCCTGCCATGTTTCAATCTTTCTTCAATGCTAATTTCCTGTTCTGACTTGAAGGACATATTATTTGCACTCAACATGTTTTTCTACACTGTTTGATCAATAATTGCTACCAAATCTCCAACAATAGTGTTGCTTTTATATATTTCAAACACTTAAGTAAGTAAAACTGGTGAAATTTCCAGGTGTGAAGGACATAATTACTTTATAACATTTTCTTGCCAGGCCAGGCCGTTGACATCTTGTTTGACAGCTAGATTCCTTACTGAACTTCCACATATTATGATGGATGTTTCTTTTAAAGTCCCATATAAAAGAATAGGCGTAGTGTACTCAATTGATAGAGAATTAGTGAGCAGAAAGGAAATAATGGGTAGTAATAACCAGGGCTTTAAGCAAGTGACAAGCATTGACTAGTAAGGTACCATAGGGATCAGCACTTGGACTCCAGCTATTTATAACATATGTTAATGATTTAAATGAGGGAATTAATTGCAAAATATCCAAGTCTGCAGATGACACAAAGTTAAGTGGCAGGGTGAACTATGAGGGTGGTGCAGTGATGCTTCAGTGTGATTTGAACAATCTGAATGAGTGCACAAATACATGGCAGATAAAAGTATAATGTGGATTAATGTGAGGTTACCCACTTTGGTAGCAAAAACAGTAAAAAAAATTATTATCTGAATAGTGACAGATTGGGTGAGAGGAAGGTGCAATGAGACCTGGGTGTCCTCGTACACAAGTCTCTGAAAGGAAGCAAGCATGTGGTAAAGAAGGCAAATGGTGTATTGGCCTTCACAGCAACAAGATTCAAGTACAGGAGCAGTGACGTCTTGCCACAATTGTACAAGTCATCGGTGAGAATCTGTGTAGTTTGGGTCTCCTTGTCTGAGGAATAATGTTCTAGCAATGGAGTGGGTGCAACAAAGACTGATTCCTGGGATGGCTGGACTGACGAGCTAGACATAGTAAATGCAGGAAGGATGTTCCTCACATCCAGAGAGTCCAGAACCAGGGATCACAGTCCAAGGATATGGCGTATGCCACTTAGACCTGAGGTGAGAAGAAATTTCTTCAGCCAGAGTGGTGAGCTGGTGGAATTCTCTGCCACAGAAAGTGGTTGAGGCCAAAATATTGAATGTTTTCATGAGCAAGTTAGGTATATTCTTAGGGCTAAAGGGCTCAAAGCTCATGAGGAGAAAGTGGGAACAGGGTACTGAGTTAGATGAATAGCCATGATTATGTTGAATGGTGGGGCAAGTTCAAAGGTAGGAATGGACGACTCCTGCTCCTATTTTTCTATGTTTAATGGTCTATATCAAATTTAGCAGCAAGCTATATCATTAATTATTCTACAAATGGATAATAATAAACTTCAACTTACTGCTTATGGAAAATCTATCATTGTCCCTTCTCCTCACAACACATGTTATGGTCTGGCCCATGCTGGCAGCAACAACTGAATTCTGCTGGCAATCAAACACAATGCTATTGCTCTTCAGGTACATCAGGGATTGAATCAGGCTGGAGATACCATACCACTTGGAAGTCAATTCATTTGTAGACACCACCAAAAGGTGCTACAGATGCAAATTGGTTCACTGATGTCAGTTTAAAGTCAGAAAAGTTTAGTTTTGCTTGTATCAGTGCTCCTGGTATGACTGAGCACTAAAATTAATTTTTGTATATATCCTACCCAAAGCAAATCTGCAAAATTTGTTCCAAGGTGACCGTTAACACAGATTTTGACAGCACTTAAGGAAATTTTTACATTGTGAAAATAACAGTATATGACAATTTCTATTTGTCTAATTATATCTACACTGTTGTATTTTGTACAGTTGAAAAAATTATGGTCCTAATGGAGTAACAACATTTTAACAAATTTTTATGTTAAAACAAGACAGTGACTAAACAAATTTATAGCATTGCTTAATTGTCATTCATTGGAATTTTCACAAAATCAGTGTAAATCATGTTTTGTTTACATGAATTCCCACATCATAAGAATTCTACTAAAACTGTTATTGCATTTCAACATATTCAGTTTAAAGTAATGATGGAAAGAGACCAGAAAGAAGTTAAAAATGCTCGACTAATGTAGAGTTAATTTCAGTGGTGTCACAAGGGATGTTGTACTGGGAGATGTGAGAAGGTGGCTTCAGGATAAAACAGTCACAAAACAATGAAAGAGTTCAAGTGAAAGCTAGACATATTTCTTTGAAAGGAAATGTTGGAGAAACCCAAAGTTAATATGCCTAGGATGAAAGGAAATAAAAGTTAAAAATAAAACAGCAAAACGAGGCATATGACAAATGGCACAAGAATGATTCAGTTAACATTCAGCAAAATTGTGGAATGTGAAAGAGGAAACTAAAAAAAAAATAATATGGCAAACAAAGAGAAGATACAAGAGAAGACTAGCAACAATGTTAAATTAAGCTCAAACACTTTAAAAACCGAGTGTAAACAATTTGCTGAGGTAAAATAGAAAGTGCTGGAGAAACTCAGCACGTCTAGCAGAATCTGTGGAGAAACAGAGCTAATGTTTAAAGTCTGATGTATCTCTTCTCAGGAACAGTCACTGGTCCAATGGTATTGTGCGCAATTCCATGCCCCCACATCCTTGTCTCATCTGATTTTTCAGGTCATATTGGCCTGGAAAATTCCACCAACCAGCCCCCCCACCCCCACCACACGCCCTGCACTCCACCATCCAGCGTTTCGGTCAATATGTACACATCGTTGAAAAGATTTATAAGTAAAGGAGTAGAATTTAACACCAGGGAGATTACTGTGGACAATTCCACATTCTGTGAAAAAGTAAAGGCATTCAAAAGGGTACATAGGAAGTTGATGGGTGATAAGAGACTTAAAATGTGAGGAGAGGTTGAATTGGTTAGAATTGTTCTCCTTGGAACATCAAGGTTATGAGTAACCTAATGACAGATGTTGGTAGAGTAAATAGTTAAAAAGAAAATTCTCTGTTGAATAACTAGAAGTCACGGATTCAAAATCATTAGCAAAAGGTCTAGAGTGCAGATGAGAAGAAGTCTTCTCACTTAGTTGTTGTATTCTAGTATGTTCTACATGGAAACAGAATCCATGAATAATTTAAACATGAGTTGAACAGATACTTGAGGATGATGAACAAAAAGCTGGGAATCTAGAACTAAACACAACTGTTCTTTCAAGGAGTCAGTATAGTCATAATAGGACAAATGGTCTCGTTCTGAGCTGTAAGTTTCTTTGAACCTTTGATTCATGTGCAATATTCTTACCTTCCTTTTGATATCAGTAAACTGAGAGAACATTAAAGACCAGTAGAATGCCAGCTCCATAATGTAATAATAATGGAGGTCAGAGGTTAGAACCTATTGAAAAAAGAAAAAAAGTTAATATGGAAGGCATAGTGGATTTATCAGGTCAGAAAAATGATACAATAAATAGCGAAAAGGACTGACTGCAAAATTCATGAGCGGCAATTCCTTAGTTTGATCATTAGAATTAGAATGTGTTTTATTGTCACATGTACTCATATGAGTACAGTGAAAAGTTGACAAGAGGCCACTTACAGAACCATCTTAGGTACAGCGGGACCTAGGTACAAATTCTTAGGAAATAAAATGTCCAGCAATAAATTAGAAAGTCGGTCTTATCAGCACAAATATTTAGCGCTTCATAATGTAGGCTATTGTGATTATACATTATTATGCTGTATTCATATGTTTCAAGAAAATCAGTGACAAACAGGTATCCTGTTGTATCAAACAGGAATAAACATAAGTGATATTTTAATAATGTTACCTGTGTGTTTGGTGGATTAAAATTGCGTTATCACAAGAAGTTCACTCGGCATTTTTAAAAAAATCAATTTCCCTGTGTTGTCTTGAGTGAAAGCATTCTTCCAAGTTGGAGAAATATATTATGACAGAAGAAATATTTACCAGACACGGTTAAAGGGAAAAGTTGAGAAAACTTTAACAAAGACAATGGAATGAAAATAAAATGCTATTGAGAATTTAAACATAAGTGAACATTCAGAAGGAATACTTCCCATTCAGCACTGGCTCATTTTACAGAGAAAAATTATTTGCATCAGTATCCGGTTAACAATTTTAATAAGTTCTCTTCCTTATCTGAAAAAAGATTTCAAAGAATTTTAATGCAGTTGAAAACACAGATTTTAGTGTGGGTAGGTAAATGCAGGCATTTTGGAAAACTGCTTCCAAATCCTTAATTTCAGTGTCAGGCTTCCTATATGCAAGTCCTAGTGGAAGAGGCCAGCTGTCTACTGTAATGTTGCTCAGTCAGTTAGAATTAGAGTTAATGTGAATTTTGCCTTTATCTTCAACTCCATGTGCTTCCCAAATATCCTGGGATTCAGTACTGGATATAAAGTGAAAAGACTGTAATAAGTGAGAGGACTGAACCTTTGACAGGAAGATGTCAAGATGTACTCAGTCCTCACAGCTGCTTTCTGAAATGCTTGGAAAAGGGTTTGCTCACAGTAATTGTGCTACAAGATGACTCCACAAACTTTGGAGGTGCCACCTATGTTTCAGAGGTTCGGTGGTCTGATTGTTTTGGAGCCCTGATCTCTGAGTGTGACTGTATTATGGAATTTTAGATGAAGGCCAACATGATCAGTGGAAGCAGTAGGACCTACATGAGGCAACAGGCTGCTGCTCAGAGACATGCAGCTTCAAAGGAAAGCTTGAGCACATAGATGCAGCTTCTAGGAGGACACAGCCAGCATGCTTGATCTCAGTCTCCAGAGCAACATATGGCTCTCTGTCTTACTGCCAAACCAAAGTTGGAGCATCTCAGCTGGTACCTGGTGTGCATTAGTCCTTTGATGGTGCACACTGATAGTGTGTGAACTCCTCTGGAGAACCATTAATGCTGTCCATGAATTGAACTACCACAAATGGGATGTGCAGAAGTTCCATGGGAGTTAAAAATTGAGAATGAGTACTATTAAGATAAGGATATGGGGATTATTACCCTGCGCATTAATATATTTCACTCACGATTGACATCAAGTAAACATGATTGCATCACATACTATGTCTTGTCTTAGGCAGCTGGAAAGCCTCTATAGGTGCCCTATAGATCCCTGTCTGACATCAATTACACTGAGACTCCACTGATTGACAGTGTCTGCTCTCCTCCATGTGTTAGCTGGCTGGAGTTCAGTTCTCTGCTGTTCCTTTGTGTTCTGTGAACTCTTCGTGTACAGAAAACAAAAGAAGACAAATGACATATGTTTACCACATTGATGCTGTTGTTGACCATGAGAAAGGTGGCATAACATCACATGATAATGAAGGTGAAAGTCAGTGGTGAATGGTGAAATGAGGATGTGAGCATTGACTGAAAGGATATACCTGCAAGGTAATTTGGGCTTGTGAAGGCTGAATGATGGGTTTGTGGTATTTTCATAGCAGAGCGTTGGTGAATGTGCCATGATAACCACCTTTCCTGCACTGATTAGATCATTGATTGACTTCCTGTATCATATCCAGGTGATGTGCACTAGGATCCAGCAAACGATCTCTTGCACTACCATCAACTGAGCTGCCTTAGTGTCCCCAGTTCACTTCTTGCTCATGGTGCGAGGGAATAGTATATCTTTCCAGGTTCTCACATCACAACAGCAGAATATCTGGAGAGGCTCATGAAAATGAGCTACAGCTTTTAACCTTTTAGATTTTGTTTTGGCATAAAATTGCCTTTGGCTCCTAATTGTTCCTTCGCTTTGTGTGTTTGATTGTCACTTTAAACAGTGGAGATGAAATCATAACATGCAGGAGTTCCTGTATGCACTTATTGATTGGAGATTGAGAAGTCATATGGAATGCAGTGAATGTTTAAATAGCCAGCCACAGATGTACAGCATTGAATTCTGAGTTATGTGCATGCTTCTGAACAGTCCCAATGTTGAGGTCTTTGTCTATGTCCAGGTATTCCAGCGGCCCAGTGTGGCAATCTTGTCCTGGCTACACTTTCAGGTTACTCCATTGCTCTGTAACTGGCTTTCCCTGAGCTCAGGAGCCATTAACTGAACTGTGATGAACTTTGTCTTAATTTTACTTTTTTTTATTATTATGTATGACTTCTGTCATTGATGTGGGTGCCTTGGTGGGGTGACTTATAAAACTTTTTCCTGTAAAAGTGCATACAACAGTAAATTTCTATTCTATTGTACTCTAGTCTGTTTCCAGTGAGTAAGACAAACTTAAAACGATTCTCCACGTGTCAGATCTCCCACCACAATGTGGTGACACTTTGCGTAAAACACGCAAAATTTTTTTTCACTGTATTTTTTAATGTACATGTGACAATAAATCTAAATCTAACCTAAATATATCTCCCATCCCCTCCTTCCTCTTTTCATCTATTCTATAATCCTGAGTAACCTTGAAAAGCCTAAATGGAAATAGTGGGATTCCAAATGTGTATCGGTCATGGCCAGTATACGTACAATATTTGTATTTCCAAAAGGAACTCAAGAAAGTACCATACTGAGTGTTAACACACAAAACGAAGGCTCATAGAGTTGAGGTTATATATTATCATGGATGAAATATTGATAATGGACGGGAAATAAAGAGTAGGAACAAGTGGCTCTTTCAAGCTGGCAAGATGTGACTAGTAGAGTGCTGCAAGAATCAGTACGCTCATCTCTGCTATTCACAGTCTTTATTACTGACATGGACATAGAGACTGAGAGGAACATATCCAATAAAGGAGCAAATTACTGCAGATGCTGGAATTTGAACTGAAACCAAAAGATATTGGAGATCACAGTGGGAGAGGCAGCATACAGAGTGAGAAAGCATGCTAATGTTTTGAGTCTAAATAACTCTGCATCAGAGTATCCATGTTTGTTTATGGTACAAAGTTAGGTAGAATGTAATCTGTGAGGAGAACACAGAGAGATATAAATACATAATTTGAGTGGGCAACAAGGTGGGAGATGGAGTAAATTTTGAGAAGGTGCAACATTATTTACATTGATAATAAGTACAGAAAAGCAGTCCTGCATTCTGTATAACCTTAGCTCTTCTTTCTATTACTCTTTGTGAGTCATTAAAGTGAACTTTAATACCTCCTTTAACTACTGTGCCTTTATCCACAATTATCTTGCAATCTTATGCAATTTATTAACTAGTTGTTAAAAGAATAATTTACAGTTTGGACGTTGTAACTATTTATTATTGGGCACATTCCAGACAAACCTAAGCTATTACCAGTGAAGTAAATTGGATGTGGAGGCTGATTCATCATCTACATTTTTTGTTTATGAAGTAGTGTTGCCCTGATATGAACCTTTATCAGCAAATGTCGCTACGGAACTTCCATCGTTAGGCTATTACTCATGCTCAAAAGAATACTTTGAAATTAGTTCTTGTTTTGTGCATTGTGTTTTTGATTTTTCAAAGTGAATTGTACATTACTACCCTCTTTCCCTACCATAGCTTGTACTTTGAGCATGTTGCATAGTATAAAACAGATATTAAGTTAAGTATAATAATTAAATAGTGCACACTACTTATCCAGATGAATAATCAAGAGGCTTGCTTTGTTATGGATGGTGTCAAGCGTCTTGAATGTTGCTGCAGCTGCACTCATGCAGTAATGTAAAGGTGCCAGTGTTGGGCTGGAGTGGATAAAGTCAGAAGTCACACAACACCAGGTCACAGTCCAACAGGTTTATTTGAAATCACAAGCTTTTGGAGCCCTGTTCTTCATGCATATTCACCTAATGAAGGTGTTGCACTCTGAAAGCTGGTGATTTCAAATAAACCTGTCGGACTATAACCTGGTATTGTGTGACTTTGCACTCACGCAAGCAAGTGGAGGGTATTCCATCACACTCTTGAATTGCACTTTGTATGATGCAGAGAGTATGACTGTATAATGTAGTTGCTTCATTACTTTGTAGCATAGCTCCCTCGACTTGGCACAAGGCCCTTAGATGCTAGTGAGGAGGGGAGTGCACAGCTGGGCTGGGTGTGTCATCCTTCTTTCTGGTTCATAGGTCAATGTTGGGTGGTCATTCAAATATTTCCCTTCTTGATTTTTCTGTAGTAGTTTGATAAACCGAGTGGCTTTTTAATGATTTCAGAGGACATTTAAGAGTCAACCATATTGCTGTGGGTCTGGATTCCTGGAACATAGAACTGTACAGCACGGGAATGGGCTCTTTGGCCCACAATGTTGTGCCAGAAATGACACCAGTTGAAACTAATCCCTTCTGCCTGCCCTTGGTCCATATGCCTCCATTCCCTGCATATTCATGTGCTTATCCAAAAGTCCCTTAAACCCCTCCTATCATATCTGCGTGCCACACTCCTGCCACTCTCTG